TTGACTTTCATCTCTAGTAGAGTTAAACAGCCAGTTAGTTTAAAAACCGGAATAGGAAATGGCTATTTCTGATTTCTATTTGTTTCGGTTCTCTATATTCTTCCACGGAGTAGTACAAATGAAATAAGAGAAACGGTAACAGTATATATATAATGTATTCATATAATCATGCAAACGAATAAATGGCAGTTAATATTGATAACATTACGATATTATGATACAGTGCTTATGAAATTGTTAAATATTTACACGAGTATCCTAGCTATGCCATATTTTATGTATTAAAACCAGACTGTTGCATGTCTACATTTAAAACAGATATGAATTGTTGTTACTGTAAGCCCATGGAAAATTGGACATTGTATATTTTTTGGACGTAACCAATGAGTATAATATGCTTTTTGGTCAAATAAATGAGCTATTCAGCTACAGTCCATTTTTACTTTCTCCCCCTATACATAGTATATGAAGAAAGTATTGTTTTCGTCAACATTTTCCATTTTGAGTTTTGAGTGGATATATCCGTTTTGGGTCCTCCTGAACAAAAAAGTGCTTTTCAAAGAAATGTCAGTCTGTGTCTGTATGTGTGGATGTGTACATAGCTATAAAGACCACACCTGTAGTCCGAATTTGATGAAATTTGGAATGTATGTATTAATCCATGGTAACTCCAGGCGTTTTTTTGTTTTTTTCGAAATTTTGATTTTTAACACTGCTGATTTTTAATTTTGGCATAAAACCCAAAATCAGATTTTCCCGAAAATGGCCCAAACGATTTTGATAACAAATTTAGTATGTTATAGTCCTTTAAATTCTGAACAAAATGCTAGAAATCCCATTTCCGTAAAATAAATTCAAAAGTTATTGTAATTTATGGTATTTTCCGTTTAAAAGCCCCATAAAATAACAAAAATCGGGTTTTAGGAAAAAAGCCAGTTTATTAAAATAAATCTGTTTATAGTCTTCATAATTCTAAACAAAATAGTGCAACCCCCCCATTGCTGTAACAATTACGATTCAAAAGTTATTGTATAGCTTATGTTCTCATAAAATAACAAAAAATCGGATTTTAGAAAAAAACCCGGTTTTTATTAAAATAAAAAATGTTATGGCCCTTATAATTCTAAACAAAATAGCGCAACACTCCATTGCTGTAACAATTACGGCTCAAAAGTTATTATTTGCATCTTTTGTGATTCTTCTTATAAAATAGCACCTAGTTACTCCCACCGCTTACCCATGATAAAGGTTGTTGACAAGCTTATGGGAGAAAGTATGTGTCAATTTGCTGATACAGTTTATTTAAAAACTAGAGGCGATCGAGATGTGGTGGACTGATGGTCGGTGGACTTCTTTGTTTGTTGTGTTGAGTGATCTAGTTCATGTTCTTTCATATTAACTTTTCAAATATTTTGAGGGTTTATTTTGAAAAATAATAATTAAATATTGATGGAGCGGACAACAACTTTGCATTGAAAATAGAATATTTCTTCTTATTCCTCGTTTGTGGGCCTTGGGGTACAAGTTTATTCAGCGAACGGCCCTTACTTAAAAAAAAAACACCTTCTTACATTATAATATCCTTTGTAAAATGTATGTGCACTAATTAATCGTAAACAGTATAGTTCCAGTAGTTACATCTACCACCTCATTGTGTTAATGGCTGGTCAGCATCCACTGCTTGCGCAGATGGTCCCTTACAGCCACCCTGATGATGAGTCAGACACCAAGGAACTGTTGAACCTGGTGGGAAGAATTCGAGGAGGAAAACTAATCATGTCAAACTTGAGTGCTACTGAGCCACATAGAAGCACAGTATCCAGTAGCATAGTGACCTAGGGACATGGAAGTGCAATATAGAACTTATTTGTTGCCCCCAGAATGTGTAATTTGAAGATTATTTGAAATTTTGAAAAATTTTCCTGGGGCTTTGGTGAAAGTTTCCCATCTGGTAATTTCCTGACTGCTACTTTTGCGCAAACTTCATGTCATGAATGACTTCCCCTCCCCTTTTTGGGTCCCAAACCCACTAGTAGTCCCCCCCCCCCACCATTGATAAGGTTTTAGAACCGCCACCGGTCATTCCCCTATGCAGCAATAAGTTGAGAATTGTAGAAGAAGAGGTGTTTCATCACCAGCCAGCAAGTGCCATTATCACTAGTTTTTCTGTTAATTTGATAGAAACATAATATAGTTTATTGGTAGGATGACAGGCCCATTCCCTCCTCAGTATTGAGATACTTTTATGAAGGTTGCACTTCTCGGCTCTTGTTGTGTGGATAAGTTCTTTTGATTTGCCTCGTATTCATTTAATTTGTTTAAATGAATCAGTTCAACAATAAATCCTTGGAAAAAAAACCCATTTTTTTGGTAAAGAAACCTCTTTTAGTTTGCTGAAAAAATGTTATAAAATACAGTGTTATTGTTTGTAAATTTCATTAAGTGATTTATTATAATGTTACAATCACAATGGTTTAGGTAAAAATTTAAGTTCTTATTTATAGATTAAAATATTTACATAGAATGCAAATATGCTTTAGGCTGATTACACACTGATATCACAGGCATAAACACATTAGACACTTGTCTCATGAAATTGAAAGAGACATATACATGTCTTATATCTTTTGCATTATGAGACATTTCTCCTACAATAATGTAGTCAATCGAGTACAAAATATCTCCAGAAGACAAGAAATTGTTGTTAATTGCCAATAGTGTAGGTTTTTAAGCGTGGTTGGCCCATTTTCTAATGCAAGGCGGAGACATCAAGGTGACAACCAAAACTCAACATTTGATCCAAAGATCACAAAATGTGTCGTGAGTATTTTAAAGCAAAACTTAGCAATGGTAAATTAACCACTTGAAACGTGCTTTGTAAACGGATGAATAACCTCTTTGCTCGGGGGATGAGTGTAAGCATGCATGCTCCAGGCCTGATGTCGTTCGACATAACTCACCAAACGGTTTCATGCGACACACGACTGATGAACTTAATATGATGTCTCGGACATGTGTTGCAAGAAGTGTGTAAATTCTGATTTTATAACATATGGGCTTCACATGTGACATGCCTTAGACACAAAAGATATTGTAAACATAATTTCTACGACACGAGTGTTTAATCAGAGAGCTTGTAATACTGAAAATGTGATTTTGACAGCAGGGGAGCGAGTTGGGCTAGTAGTGGTAGAGCGCGGGACTTCGGTCTATGAGATGAGGTTACGGGTGCAATTCCGGTGCGTCCAAAGGGCAGCCTTTCCACCAAGCGTGTGCCTCCTCATTGGCCCACCAGATAGCACTGTTTCAGGTAATGATCATGACTAAAAAAATGTGGCATTTAGTTGGTAATAAATGTTGTACATGAACTCTAACTAGTAATTTTTAAATTTTAGAAGTATTTATTTCATCCAATAAACGATTATTTTTACTAGAGAGTGGTTTATGTATAAAATGTAGCAAAGAGAATTGTCAGAACGTAAAAATTTATACAGGGCATCTATTTTAACGTGCAACTCAAATTAAAAGTACTGTAAGATCAATTGTAATGAGAAAAATCTTAAAGAGTTAGAATAATACGTTGAAAGTAAATCATTGGTAATATGCAAAGAAATATTTAAACTATCCAGGTGCGTTGCAGTACCTAATAAAAACAATTATTGACATATACACAGTGCTTTATTTGTAAAAAAATAGGTGCCGGAACTGTAACCTCTTTAATGTGATTTGTACCTTTTTATGCTAATATTTTTATCTCTCCGAGAGAGAGGTGCCGGAACTCCGTTCAACCCCCACCCCCAAATCAACTGTTCCCCCATAAATCGAGCACTGCATATACAATTAAAGTAGCAACACAGACAATAGACCATATATGTCTATGTATATTTGTTATTTGGTTCTTTAGTCTGTGGTAGTAATAAAGCACATCTGAGCACCCTGAAATAATTATTATATTTTGTAGAAGTGACATTTTTCGGACATGAGTCCGTTTTTAAACTTCAATTAACAGTAAATACTTAACCTTTGTTTACAGCTCATGACATCTAAAAAAGCTGGCACTTGCCGATCGCTACTAGTATCTAGTTTAAAAACATTATGTCCCGTCATGCAGGTTGCATCAACTGTCCTCGCGACCCGTTATGAAGGCGCTCAAGTACATAATACAAGGGGAGTCAACCCCGTGAGCCAGCGGAAACGTTTGCAGTCCTGTCTTTTCCCTACCTCCACCAATTATCAATTATCAATTATTTGAGAAGGGTACGCCTCTATGTGCATATTTTAACCCAAATATGAGTGAAGGACGAGTGTAGGATAAGTGGATCTTGTAGTCTTGTTAGTGACATCCTCCTCCCGCCTACACTGCCCGCGCTAGGCCAAGTAGTGCCAGCTTAGATGTCACGAGCTGTACACAGTTTGTTTTTTGAAAATATGATTTACATTATACAGTTAATTTATAAAATTAGACAGGATTTGAAAATTTGGTTGGTTACTGATTATATGGCTGTTTAACATATGATTTGGATTTTTTTAGGTTTCCTTCATATATGAAATATTTTTCAGTTGAATCCATTCGGTTTTATGAACATCTAAATAATGACATATACAAATTTAAGGAAATCGAATCCAAATTTAAAGGAAACTGAACTCTCTTTTAAGTGAAAATCAGATCAGGCAAATGGAAAATCGCTTAGTCTGCAGGTTAGCTGCAACAGGGGTATTTTTTTTTTACTACGGATTCAGTTTCCTTAAAAATCATTCAAGATTAATTGGAGAAGAACCATTGTTGTGTCTTATTTACAATAAATTCCCAGTAATACTAAATAAACCTGATGCACAATAATGTAACAACGCATATCATCTGATCGGCAATGAAGTAAAGTAAACAGGGATTCTAAAATATAAGAGGTTGTTTTGTCTGTAAAATGTGTCTCACAGTACTTTTAATTTGGGTTCTATGTTAAAAGAACACTATGTATATAACTCTATTTATATAACTAACCCTCAATCATATTACATAGTACACAGTTACGTTTGGGGAAGTTTAGTGATTTCATATGCAGAACTTGTGATCTGAAACAAAATAATAAGATTAGTTATTACGATTATGTTCCTTTATGTTATTATGGATTATGTTGTTATGGAGCTACTTCATTGTTGATCTTTGTATTTGATTTGACTTTGAACTGTAAAGTAGGTGTACCCAAGGCCCCACTAGAATAACAGGCCATGCTGCAGGATCCATGACGTCACACTAGTGGATAGATTCCATCATTGATAAATTCATTGCCATTGCCATTCCCATATGTTTTAGGTAAATAAGCAAGTTGGCTCTTTGTAAGATTTTAATGGTATGAGTTTAGTACAACTATCCACCACTGCGATGTAGTGTTGCGCTGTCTGTGCTGCAGCATGGCCTGTTTTTCTAGTGGGGCCTTGGAGTACCATAATGAAGTCCTCCTAAAATATGGTACAAAAAGTTGAGATATCATTATACACTTACCTATTATAGTGTTTATGCACCTTTTACACACAATGTAAAGTGTCATGAATGTAAATAGTGATTACTTTTTATCACTATAAAATTAAAATTAAACTTAGAGAACTATTTCTGTTTAAAAGAAATTATTTCATAAAATTTGTTTATCAGTTTGTAAAAACAGGTTATCTATTATAGGAAATGCAAATGTAATTCGAATTTCGAAACAGCCTCTCACATACCTTAGGTATGACACTTGAATTCTCTTGCCTATTCGATTCCGTTTGTTGGGGCGGCGTCCAGTGTAAAGCTTTCAAAGTCTGCTGTCGAACCAACTCTAGTATTTTATCATATTTCTGAAATACAAAAAAATTCATATTCAGCAATTAATTAACCATAGGTTTGTTACATGTTATATTATATTTATAAAACCTGATATGCACATAAACTACCTCAAAAGGAGTGTTCATAGCAGTCGGTGCAAGTCTCGGCAGATCACCAAACACGTTAAGTTCCTCTACGTGGAATACTCGCCATTCTGGAGACGGTTGACGTAGAATGAGCCGCATCCCAACCACCTTACGCCATTTCAACATGCTCTAACACATCACATCAAACTGAGTTACTTAAGCAGGTATTGAAGATTTATTTTTAAATCTTTTGATTCGCTAATGTTATATTTTAAATATTTAATTTATACAAAAATGGTAATATATTACAAAATTTACTTTAACTTAGTTTGAGTGCAAACACTAACATAATTTAAATAAATATTTGAACATGTTTCCAAGATTCTGAGGATGCTAAATTGAAAAAAAAAAACCATACAGAAGTCATATTCTGGGCATAAGTTTATTCATGTGAAAACTTAGGTGATAGCTCATTTATATATATATATTACAGATTTTCTGAAATGGGACGTAATAAATTGAAATACTCACCTGAAAAGTAATAAAATTTACTAGGCGTACTAAATACTCTTTATGAATTTAAAAATATCCATATTGCAGAATCAATATTTTTATTTACCGTACCGGTACTTCGATTCGGTTTATGCTTCGGAGACTTTGTGAAGAGCCCTTTAAAAATGACTGTGACAATGGATTGTTGTAGATTAGTAAATAGTGTGTTGATTAACCTAATGGGTTTAAATGCTGAAGCTGAGTAATCAACCCTTATGGTAGAAAGAAGTTTTATATAATGAACTGCCAGCTGTACAATGTTCATTTCAAATTATTTTTACCTCGGTTGCTGCAACTGATATTGCATCTTGACTACCATTTTCATGATGAGGAGACATCATCAGCACTTTCTTTGTGATTGCAACTTTCCATCCAGTTTCTTTAGGATTTGCTGTAGGTCCATCATACCGGACCAAAACACTTATCCATGCTGTGTAGTAGTTCCTAAAAACCAACTCTCCAATCTGAAAAAATTAGATTTATATTTTAATAGCTAGTAAAGATAACTTTTTTTGTTTACTAATGCCTTAGAATGCTTGGGCTTTTCTGTAGTAGACTTTGGGCTCTAAAAACAACTTAATTTAACTAAAATCAAAATATGGTTTGATCAGCATTCAAAGGTAGCCAAACAAATTCAAAATTCAACTTAATATTACTAAACTGACTGAGAAACCAGAGCCGACCTTAGACAAATGCGAAAGGTGCAGGGCTCGCACATCGTGCAAAATACCAAAAAACTGTGAAAAGTCCTTAAATTTTAGTCATCAATGAAGAAACAGAAAAAAAGGGGAGGAAAAATACTGATACTTATACATTGATATTTTTGTTAGTAATAGCTCGTAATATTGTTGGTATACTACGTTTTTGGTAGTAAAGGGCCCTGTACTGAATGTTTGCACTGGGTTGCGCACCACCTAAGGCCGACTCTGCTGCGTACTGTATGGACTACATTAAAAAGCCAGTATTCCACAGAATGATAACACTTGAATGCAGCATTAATGAAGCTAACATAGCTTCCTTTCAGCAACATTGATGGATTAAAAAGTATTGAATTGGATTAAAAAACAAACATAAATTTAAAATAATTGAATTCCCAATATACTGTATATTAATATAAAATATCTGTTCTAAATAGTATTTAGAATTTTCCATTGCTTTAATTATTCAAACAATTTAAGTACTATAATGTAACTTATTAGAGAACTGAATATTTGGATATTTTTCATTCTGACTGAGTTGGAGTTTGAATTTGATTGCATATGCTTACCTGAGAGGGTCGATTAAAATTAATATCCAGTATAGAACAGCCGGGAAGAGCGACTTGTTCCTCGTCTAGTATAAGAGACACAGGTCCTTTCACACTAAACTCCACTGTTTGTCTCCCAAACATTTCTTTAAGAGGAACAATTACTTTATTGATTTAATGTTTTCTTATGCTGTTGGAAAAGAAGTAGGTAACATTCAATATAGGTGACAATAGAGTGGGCCTGGGTGGCTGGTGCCCCACCCCCATAAACACTAAATTATTAAACTATTTGGGTAATCCTGAACTTATACTATTTATGTTAAATTGAATTTACCAATTAATTAATTAATTGAATTTATTTGGTTTTATTTATTGATTTTACCTATTTACCAAAATTAGGCTATTATAAGCACTTTTTTTCTATGGCAATTTTGGGGGTAACGCCTATTTCACCCTGAAAATCGAGAAAAGTGATAAGTATAAATCAGCGATTTTAAGGCGCTTGAAAATTCTTTACTTTTAATGGTACCTGTTTTCCTTATTATACTGTATAGGCAATTTCAAACACTTTTTGCCTCTTGTACTTTTTCCACATACACGTATTTCACACCGATAAACGGGTTTTAAAATCATGAAAAGCGTTATAAATCACTATAAATATTGGCACATTTGACCGGTAAGTGTCAATAACTCAATACTAACCTAACTTAACCTACCTAGGTTTACTCAAAATCGGTAATTTTCGGCACTTTTTACAACTTTTTAAACCTGGTTTTCTGTGTAAAAACTGTATTTGCCGATAGAGTGTCCAAAGGATTTAAAGTGTTTGAAATGGCCTAGGGAAAAACACATGAAAAGAAAAAAAAACAAGAATTTTTAAGTGCTAAAATCAATGATATTTTAACGCTTTTCGCGATGTTTAAACGCGATTTTCAGGGTCTTTTCCCCCAAAAGTGCTAAAGGAAAAAAGTGCTTAAAATAACATAAGTAGTACAAGTTCAGTAATACCAATTATTTAAGCTATGTAGAGACTTAAATATTTCAGTGCCTGCAAAATAGATCGGTTGAATTTTTATATTATCATATAATCATCAATAAAGAGCGTAACATAATACAAAAAAAAAAAACAAAAAAAAGGTTGGGTTATTTTCATGGGCATTGGAACAAGATATTTTGCTCCCCCCGAAATCCTGAGAAAATTATGGCTTCCTGGACATTCAACGGAATAAATATTAATATTTATTTCAAACTACGTTTTATTTTAAGCCATGTGATATTAAAAAATAAAAGTTGAACAATAAATATAAGACAAAATTACTTGGTTGTCATGCATGTACTAATCTTGTTCTGGTTTGATTCTTGAATAAATTGTATGTACAATATTCCAGATTATCTTTACTGATTAAAAAGTAAGCTTACATTGATTTGGAGCTCTTTAAATTGTTGTCTTCAAAAAAGTTTTAGGAATTATATCAAGAATCATATTCCACTCATTAAAAATCAAACAAACAACATAGGAAACGGTTACCATGGTAACTCAAGCCTCATACATACGAGCACATTTGGCCATTTTGGGCTCTTCGGTTAGTCATAGTCAATGGTCATACTATTATTGGTTGTTTCTGTTATTATTGATCTGTTGGCAAAAATAGGAGTCTAATGTTTCATATTATTGTACATATAAAACCTAGTTTATCATAACCATAACAAATCAAAAGTCAATGTCACCACCTTACCTTCCATTATTGATTGTATGATTGTAAGGAGACTCCGTATCATGCTATAAAATCTAAAACCAGATTTAAATTAATTATTGTGTTTCATGTTGGAGACGTTGGAGTGCACTGACGTGAACTTAATCGTTCTCTCTTTTTTTGTGGTGGATTTACAACTTTGTGATTCTCTAGTTTTGATACCAGAGGATAATCTGTACTGCACAAAATGATTGTTGTATTAAATTTTAATATTTTTAAAATTGCTAAGCGTCAAGAAACTAAATACACTGTACATAAGTAACCTTAAAACCACCCTTAGCTGATATAAAAATGACGATAAATCAACAAAGAAGTATGTTTAATCCATATTTTAATTACTAATGCTTTTAATGCACAGAAAGGGTTATGACAGATTACCACTGTAATTTAATGATTAGGAATTAAAAAAACTATAGTACTTTATTTTCACTTAACGACTTATTTTTCAATCTGAATAAAAACATTTTAGAACGAGCGGAAATCAACCATATTAAGCCAATGAAAAATATGCTGTATGGTCTTGCAAGTTTATTAAATTATTTCCTTGTTCGTATACAGTTCGACAGTATGTATTTTGATACAACAGGGAAAATAAAAAACTACATGACATTTAATAAAGCCTGCCAACCATTAAACACAAAAGAAAAAAAATAGTAATCCAATTCAACTGCTAGAATTCAGCTCAGCTGATTGGCTTACGTCCGCTCTGGTCTAATGGTCTGTTCCGAACGAAACCCTGAGCCGAGGAGCCCCTCCGCCGACCTCTTTACAAGCAGACCACTTCGGCATCTTAGAATTTAATTAATTTAAGATGTTTAGCAGATCAACTTTAATCTTACAGCCGTTCCAGTAAGTATATTCAAGATTTAAATTTTTATGTTGGACAAATATAGCTGTCAGTAAATCTTTGAACTCACGCTAAACTACTTATAATTTAGAGGTCATATCATTTTGAAGGTTTCTTTTCCTCTAAATTTACTTAAGTTATGTAGGCCTAGGCTAAACGATTTTTTAATATTTAACAATCTTTTGATAAAGATAAATCATAATAAACTCCAATATTTCTATTCCTCGTGATTTAAATTTACTAGTCTAAATTCTATTGGTTATTAGCCTAGTATGGGCCATTAGGTCTAGGCCTAGACCTTATATCTATGCATAAGGTTAAGATGTAACTATGGTATCGGGTCCATCATTTAGGTATCATATCCAATAGTTTCAACTCATTGGATTTTATATTATCAAAGGTTTAAATAGGAGAGAATGTGGTAATACTGAACTTGGTACTGAACAGTGGTAACTAAAGCATTTTTTTTTACCTCATATACCAAAATTAGGCTATTTTAAGTATTTTTTACCTTTGGCACTTTTACGGAACCGACTAATTTCTCCCTGAAAATCGCAATTGAACTTCGGGAAAAGCACTAGAAATCAATTAATATTGGGGCTTGAAAATTTTTTTTTTTTTATTATTTCTTTTTCTTGTAACTTAACCTAGGACTATTTATAGTCCATTTCAAAAACTTTTTGGGCAAATGCCTTTATACCTGGAAAACCAGGTTTGAAAATCGTTAAAGATAGCAAAGTGCCAAAAATGACCCGTTTTTGGGTAGGTCTAAACCAAATTAATATAATCCAACCTAACTTAATTTAACCTAATCTAACCTAGAACCCAACCTAATTGATCCAACCTAACCCATGCTTCAGCTAGCAAAGTGCAGAAAATGACCGATTCTGGGTAAACCAAGATTAGGTTAGGGTAGGTAGGCCTAGGTATTAAGTTATTGACACATTTTACCTGTCTAATGTGTCAATACTAAGTGATAACTTAGTAAACGCTTTTCACGATTTTCAATTGCATTTTTTTTTAGTGAAATTAAGTTAGGTGTTTGCCGAAAAAGTGGAAGAGGAAAAAAGTGTTTGAGATGGCCTTAATAATGAGAAAAATACTTTTTACTTAAAGTAAAAAAAGTTTTCAAGCACCTAAGTTAAAATTGCCCATTTCTAGCATTTTTCTTGATTTTCAGGGTGACATAGGTGCTTCCCCCAAAAGTGCCAAATGTAAAAAGTGCTTAAAATAACTTAGTCTAATTTTGGTAGATAAGGCAAAATAATGTAATAAAATGCAATATAACATAAGAAGTATAAGTTCAGTACCCTATTACCGAGAAGGTCCCAAAGCGTCTTACTCTGGTTGTAACTTAGGGCACAGAAAACGTACTACTATAACCCAGAATGCCAACCGCATGGTAAAAAGCATTAAGCGTTTTGAGAGAGCTTTGCCTGTCAATCCGTAGGCAGCGCCACCAGCGTTGCCATGCAATAGCATAGCAACGCTGGTGGCCCTGCCTACGGATTGACAAGCAAAGCTCTCTCAAAACACTTAATGCTTTTTACCATGCGGTTGGCATTCTGGGTTATAGTAGTACGTTTTCTGTGCTTAGGGGTAGGTCTAAAAAGCAAGGCTCTTAGGCTATTTAAATGAGATTTCTCCTGAAAATATGGTTTATGTTTGACATGAAACATGGTCTGGAGATGAATGTAATTTGCAAGCGATCTTGCTTCAAATAACAGTCCCATTGTCAAATCTATCACGTCCAATCTTCACTTTTTTAACCCTCCAACTGCCAATGGGCAAACTCTGTAGTGGCAAGGCATTTTTGCTAAATTTGCAGTCATATTTTCAAAAATTTGTGTAGCCTAAACCAAACCAACAGAGCAAACCTATTGAACTGTCCATACCTACTTGAATTGTTCGTAATGAAATGAAGAGTTTAAAAATGGTACAGTAGAGTCCCACAAACTCGGCACTCGATAACCTGGCAGTCTGGATAACTCGGCCATCACCTGGCTCAGAAATTTAGTGATTTTTTGAGTCCGAGTTAAACATGGACTCAAACAAGCTCAAGTCAAATCATTAGCAACTCATACCAAGGATTTGTTGTACTATATCTGATGACTTAATACTGACTTGTAATATAAATATAAATAAAAAAGCTGGTTAAAAAGCTTTAAAAATGTATTGTTCTTATTTTTAACCCTACTTCCTGATAACCCGGCATTTCACAAACTCGGCACCCTTCCAGTCCACATTACGCCGAGTTTGCAGGACTCTATTGTAACATAATAAATAATTAGGACAGTAGGTATTAATTAGGTAGGCCTACCTATAAAAAAATAAACAACTGGTCTTTGAATTTGGAAATTTGAAAGTAAAACTTTGCTACATGAACCAAAAACTCTTTATGTGAAATTCAAGATAGGTATACAAAATGTTTGTAATTTATTCCCCTACATGAAAATGTAAAAATATTTCAATTACGATTTTGTTTTAGAATGTTACGACCAGAAAACAAAAAAATTGTGAATTTCACGATTTAGCGCTACAAATTACAAACAAAAACCAAATATTTTTTTCTCAAGAAATTTAGTAAAAGTACACATTTTCGTAAAGGCAATAACATTAGAAATTAAATTAAGTAAGAATTGTTCATGGAAAATGATCATTACTATAAATCTTTGAGACTTTTATTAAATCTTTATATATATATTTTTAAATTCATTTTGTTATTCAAACATGAATGTTATTTTTCAAACACATAAAACCTAAATTCCAACTATATAAAATGAAAGTAAATTTATTCCCCTACATGAACCTTATATATATACAGTAGTTAAAAAGTCAAATTTAAATACAAATAGTGTAAACATATTTTATAGTGTGTCATATAAAATGCTGCTGGCGCCTCTTTCACGTGGCAATCAAATCGATTCTTCATTATGACCAAATGTTTCAAAAACGGTCTAAATGTAATAACCCAAAACCAAAAATTTTGTAAGTATTTGCTCAATAAATAGTTGACAAACTAAATATGTACAAATTTACAACTAGGCTAATAAATATGATTCAAAGTGATAAGTCGCAGTCACAACCATGATACTCGTTGTTGGTAAACAGCCAATAAAGTTCTAAAAAATCAGCTAAAAATAGTGTCTCAAGTTTCTAAAAGTAATTTCACATTTCAGTCAAGGCAGAATAAGTAATATCCAAACCAAACATTTACAAATTTACAACTTATAATCACAATGTAAACTAAATACCTACCGGTACCTAAAGTAAAATCACACCAAAACTCGACTTGTTAGTTGTTGGTCAACAAAGATTGAGGTAAGTTAGTGAGGCACATAGTCACGAAAACTAACAGCTGATAACAAGTTGGCCGATGCCACCTTACAACATATTAACCAATAGCCTGGATATGTTGGCCTTAGGGAGGGGGGAAACTTAATTGCAGGCTATCTCTAGGTAACTTGTAACGTACAATAACCTAGTCATTTTGTATCAATATTAATCCAGGAGGCAAATAATATGAATAAGCCAAATATGTGCCTGATTCAAGCAACCCTTTACCTTTACCCTTACCTAGTTGGATTAGGATTTTTTAGGGGTTGAGCAGGTTCTGGTTGTAATCTATTTGTCATGACTGAAAATAGACATTGTATTTGTAGCTAAGTTGTTTAGCTTATTTGGTGCAGCAGAAAATAAAATAAATTTCAGTGGGGTTGTGCGTATTTGTTAGTTGTTTAACTTACTAACAAGCATGTAGGTACTAAACATAGGCTCTAGTATTTAAATGCATTAACACAGTTTGCAGCGAACCTAGAGACTCATGGTAGTATTGCTATAAGCAGTAAATTCATCTGTTGCGTTCTTTATCCAGCACATAAAACCAAAAGTGATAATTAGCTAAAATCAATGGCACAATCTATTAAATAAATGAACATAAGGTCTTAGCAAAATCCATGAAGTTCAGTATGTTGTGCACAAAGTGTCCCATATAACTTTAGGCTATGTAGTCCATAGTGGAACTCGAGTCTATTCAGGACATGTTGCTTGGACAACCTTCAAACCCATTTAGCTAAACTTAAACAACTCAACTTAACCCTTGCAATAAAACAGTTTTTTAAGCACAATTCAAATGAATATAGCTAGGTTAACTGACATGAATTTATAAGAATAGTTTTTTCCTTTGAAAATATTTTGTCAACAAACATATCATAGCTACACATTACTTACAATGTTTTGGTTTCTAATCTTCTCTTACCAGTAAGGTACATAAAATAAAGTATCAAGATACCCTAAGCCCTTCGTAAAAATGTGATTACCCTAAGTGTTGTACTTTTGTTTTGTAGAAATCAATGAGCCTAAAGTGAAATGTGTATCTATGTTATTCATTTTCTTGTAGGCAGCCTATAGATAACAGATAAAATATTTTAAGGTTTTGTGTTTAATTAGAAACTGAAAAAATCAAATAGAATTATTTTTATAACATCCATTTTGTCGCTGTAGTATGAAATATTGTTTTATGACCTTTGTGTAGCTTTAGTGATTCTGGGATCATCTATAAGAAAGAACTTGTTAACATATTCTAGATACTATAGTCACTTTCTGACGTGTTTTGTATACATCACTATATTGTAATAACAGATTTTGTTTTTACTTTTGTACCTATACCAGAGTTGGATAACATGCCTCAGTCTACTCTGGTCTTGTCATTAATAAACTGGTACAGTAAACAGTATTCCCTTAACCTTTTTATGCAAGTTTAATCTAATTTTAAAGTCCAACATAGGGTAGGCCTATAGGCTATTTGATTGTTGAGTTTTGCCATGTGTGTATTTAACTGTAAAATTCCCTAATTAATGTGTATCTTACCATACCGTGCCATACCATACCATGCTGAATTGTGACCTAGGATGGACAAAGTTTGTAAATAAAACCAGTTCAATTATTGTGTTTTACACGGGATATAATCATGCCGTTTCCAGTGGTGATAAGCAAACTAGGCTGTTTTTGTCCTCTTCAGCCTTGGGTAGGTTAACAGCTTCAATAGGCACTAAGTGTGTTACGAATTCTAAACAAACACAGGTTGTGACTATACTTTTTTGGTTTATACAACCGCACCATTGGTGTGGATTTATCCATTAATAACTGAACGTCAACTAAAATTTCATACAAGAAAGGATAAGTCATATTTTAAATTTTGTTCATACTACGAGATTCTTGGTATTATGCAAAACCCAAACCTGATTTTAAAGAGCACCTTTTTAAGCACAACAAGTCCATTTCGGGCTGACGTGCGCTGGGACATGGTCCGCACTGATTCAATCAATCAATCAAGGGCAACCCATTATTATTGGGGGTATTTTGTAAAAATGTATAAGGTTTTTAGAGAATGAGATTCAATAGAACTAGAAAGTAACTAAATTTAATAAACATGTTCTAAAACATTTACTTAATGACTGACTTGTTTCATTCCTTGTCATAGTAGCAACACTTTTTATCATCTTTACAAAATCACCATTACCTCTTCTAATTAAAATGTTGTTGTTACTGTCTCTTGTTATTGAACGTGTTTTGTTGTTTGATATGAACACTAATAATTATATGAGGTAAAAAAGCTTTGAAATATTTCCAATGTGGGGTCACGGAGTGTTTTTCTCTTAAATAGGACTTAGTTAAAATCTAATTAAAATGACCATGATATTTTTTACATTCTCTTTAAATGACACAGCCAAGGAATCTTTAAGTAATCTTGGAAATACCTTAAAATTTCCTCAAAATAGTAAGCTTTGATGTGATATTCATACACCAAAAACAGTTTGAAATCTCATTTGGATTTGATTAAATTATTCTTGAAGGGAAGAAGAACAAAATCATTGAGATTAAGACCAGTAATAACATTATACTGATACTGGGGTGGGAAGCAAGATGGACTAGTGGTAGAGTGTGGGGCTTTTGTCTGCAAGCTCCCCGGGTTCAAATCTCATTAATCCCTAATGGCTTTCGCTCTGTGATGATGCCTCGATCCTTTTGGCCTCCTGAAGTGGATAAATGGTTGTAGGCTAGAGCTGAGTGCCCCTGTCAGACATAACAACAACAACAAAAACGAACAAATTAGGGAATGTTGTCTGCCTGAGACTTATCAGTCTGTCGCAGAAGGTACTGCTTGGCCAACAAGACCAAGTTAACCAACTGTTAAGATCAGCTGATTGTAACTACCTTTGTTTTTCATTGTTTGAACTTGATAAACTCAGAGAAGTGAAGTTAGAACGGTTTAATAAAATATTATACCCTAGCTCTCAGTTGCAGCGTTACTTTCAAATATGTTATTTCAATATACAATCTTTATTCCTAATTTTTTTTGCAGTGGCGGTCAACAGACCCGAGGAATGGCCACTCTCAAGGCCATCTCTATGCGTCTCAAGTCAGTCAAGAACATTCAGAAGATCACCCAGTCCATGAAGATGGTGTCTGCTGCCAAGTACAGCAGAGCCGAGCGTGATCTTCGCCAAGCTAGGCCATACGGAGAAAGCTCTAAGGTATGACAAACACATTGAAAGGGGTTTTAGTTTTGTTTCAGGTATTTTTCAATGAAGTAACAGTTTACTATGGATCTGATATCCTTAAAGGATAAATATCTGTAAGATTTAAGCTAGCAACTTGCATATAGGCTGGGTTTCTGTGGTATGCTAACAGACTAAATCTACTTTTCTCTTTAAATTTTTTAAATAGAACATCATCAGATTAAAAGAGTCATAATAGGCATCTTATAATATGCAGTCTATAGTCTAACAGTGGTGGATTCAGGGTATGATTTCAGGGAGGGGGGGGGGGAAGTTGGGTTATGAGGGTCCCCAGTGAAAGGGGGTTCCGGACCTCCCCTGGTTAATTTTGGAAAATTTGAGCTGAACACTCCTGGTTTTAGACAATTTAGAGACAAAAACATGATCATTTTTTGAAATTTAAATTTATAACACATCACAAATTTGTTGGTTCTCAGATTTTCTGGGGGGGCCTTGGGTCCGCCACTGTAGTCTAATAGCTCGAAGCTCTTTATTTTAATTTTATAGATACTTGCTAGTATACAATTTAAGTTGATTCATAATACATTTTGTTTAAATTCATCCATTTGTTTAGATCATTCTGTAGTGGCTCTGCTCTTTAACAATTTAGGAAAAGAGTTCTCCCATGATAATAATAATAGACACTTTTAATCTTTTTTACATTAATACAATAGCCTATTGTTTTTGTAATCTTAATTTTTTTCAGCCGAGACACCAGTGTATCTGAAATAGTAGTTAGGAAACACGGATAAATACCGTTAAATTTTGCTTGGCAAAACTGACTAATGAAAACCTTGAATTTCGTCTGAAATGCTTTTAAGTGAAGGGACACAACATATGACAAACTGTTTGAATGTTTATCTCCTGAATAAGTTACATCATATTAATTAGTTACTAGGCCTACGTTTGAAGAATTTAAGGAATCAAAAGTTAAAAATTCTCAGTTGAACAGATATTTTATATTAATTTGTACTGGAAATGCAACTGCTTTACATTTCTTTCTCATGTATCAACTTTCAATAGCCTACATCAATAGTGCTGGGGAGAAGCAATATTAGCTTTTATTTTAGTTTTATTAATCAGTGAAATAACTGCATTTCTAATCTAGCTAGCTTAGGAACTGTGTATCGAAATTATCGAGGAAAATAAAAAAAATAGCCGGCACGGTACGTTTACTGATAAATAATAATATTAGTTTTGGCATTGGGACATCACTATTTTTAGTTCCATTTGTAGTTTTTTCACAACTGACTGAGTCTGTGTCTCATTTTTTAAATGGTTTGTTAGAAGTACTTGATATTTGTATGTGTTTTTATAAACTTGCAGTCAACTAAATTAAAAGCCCACTAATCCGGCATCCAATAGTCTGGCACTGTCAAAAATGTGGCATCAAATTAAAAGTAAAATAAAATTGATGTCTAAAAAAAGTCCTTGCTTAGCGAGCATCAACTATAGGCAATAACATCAACTATACCTATTATGAATGTGTAAGATTATTTTTTAGCATCTTCACTTCTAAGTTATGATTTTGCTCTCATTCAGAAACTAAGAGGCGGTTCATTCTTTAGTAAGGGGTTTCGTGGCCCGCGGTTATCGTTGATCTTGGCCAATTTTAACCAACAGCCAAAAAATGGGTTCACGATATGGAGCGTTAGCCGAGACCAATGCTGGCCATCGCTCAACAGCAGGGATTAATGGGGAATTTTGTTGGAAGGTTGGCAAAAGCCACATGGGCTATCTTCCGGGCCGCTGCTCGCGGTCGACGAGCCCCAAAACAGTAGGATGACGTTGCGTCATAATGATTGGTTCATAAATTGTTATAATTATACAGGTATAAAAGGTTATATAAGGTAGGGTATAGGCTGATATGTATAAAAGGTTGTCGACTTGCACTTAAATTCATTTTATACTAAAGTTTAAAGTTACTGTATTAATCATTGAATTATGAATAATACACTTTAACTCCATACATGTCATTGAATCGGGAAAATACAATTATGCCAGTACTTTTTAATACAATTTGTTTAAACAAATCTTGGTAATGTTTGCAAACTAAAATTAGATTAGATCACCAATTATTTTCAAATAGACATACTTTATCAGTTTTATCCAAACATTCAAAAATAGCACTCAAAAGGATGTTACAACACTTAGAGAATCAACAACTACTAACAAAAAATCAACATGGCTTCTTGAAATGAAGATCAACCATCACTGCCATTGCAAGCTTTGTAGAGCACATTACAGACCAACTTGAAGATAACAAATATGTCTCAGCCATTTTGCTTGATTACAGTAAGGCATTTGACTGCGTAGGTCACAAGCTTGTACTTAACAAACTATCCTTACTAGGGATTAAAGGCAAAGTCCGTGACTGAATAGCAAGCTACACTAGAAGACTGTGCACAGATAGTTGAAATACAAAAAACATTAAATGGAACAAGACATACGTTCAGATCTAGCTCAAAAACAACCAACAGGGGAGCTCCTCAGGGTTCGGTTCTGGGTCCTTTTCTATTTATGACTTTACAGACTTTATTGATAATGAGAATGCCAAACCCATCATGTATGATGATGATACAACATTGATTATTAAGAATGATACAAGTCATGGACTGTACTCAGAGATCACTCAACTAACCAATAAAGCAACAACGTCCTGTCTTCAAAATGACTTGGCAATAAATCCAACAAAAACTACAAAAATAAATTTCAGCAGAAGACAGCTACAGTCAACTGAAGCTTCAAATATCACTGTCAATGAACAGTCCAAACTAATGGTCATGAGAATGACCATGATGCTAAACTCTCTTGGACAGAACATGTGAATAGCCTTTGCAACAAAATAAGATCAGGAATTTATGTAATGCGTAGAATTAAATGGATAGGAGGACAGGAAGCAACTAAGACTGCATACTATGCCTTAGTAGAGTCCCACATAAGATATAGGTTAGTGGTCTGGGGCGGAACCACAGAGCAGAACCTTACAAGAATATACCGCGACTTCAGAAAAAAGCTATAAGAACACTAGCTGATCTCAGCCTACAGAAAGCTGCAGGTAAGCATATAAATTACTAAAAATCATGACTGTGATATCACTATACTATGATATCTGATGATATATGAAACTATACTGTGATATCCTTGCAGTGACTATATTGAACAGAGTGAGCTTACAAGACGAATAGATTCTCACTCTCACAACACTCGAAGAGCTACAGACTACCTTCTCCTAGCTCACCATACAACTCAATACAGCAGGAAGCCTATCTAAATGGGACGAAAGGTCTTCAATAGCCTGCCCAACCACTTGAAGATCTTAAGAAATAAAGACTTGGAGAGGAAACTCAAATCAACCACTCTACTCACTAACCACCACTACTACTCCACTCACCAACCACTCTACTCACTAAAGGAATTCTTTGATCAAAATTGTTAAGCAAGATGAAAATTCAAATTACAATCTATGTATATGACACTATTGTATTTCTTAACATTTCTTAAAATGACTTATTTTCAAAGATTTATTATTATCTTTTATGTATCAGTAATTTGTTTAAAAATTAAAGTTGGAGGAACAACTGAAGTCGTGGGGGGGGCCTTCATACGTAAAAGAATAATAATATAAAACGTAAAGGTTTTTGTTTGAAAGTGATTGTAATATAGGTGACGTAGATTTTTTTTTTATTGAGAAACAAATAAATATTGAACATTAGTGGCTAAGTTATATTAGAATATTTCATTACAGTACTTACTGTGTAGAAGAGTGAAATTTCTAAATCAGATGGCATTATGTAGACACCCTAGTTAGTGTTAATAGTTCACACTCTTTTCAATACCTCAGCATGTAGACACCTTATTTCACTGGGTTACTCAGACTGTTAAGCATGAGAGATCTTAGGTGTAAGAAAACAGGTTATAATGATAAAAATTATTTCGTCGTAATACAATGTATTGTAGGCTATATTTAACTATAGAATTTATCTTTTACCTCAGCAAACTGAAGCAATTTATTGTTAAACACGATATGACAAATATTAAGAAATTATCATATGACAAGGTCTTTAACAAAAAATGTTAAATCATAAACATAATAATATAAACATATAATTAAAACCCTACGAAATTAAATGTGGATACCTAAATAAATTGATCTATATTAATTATACAATAAAAATTCTTAGACAAACCTAACAACAATGTTTGTTGGAACCATTTTTATTTTGCAGTTATTCACCTGAAATAAAAGGGTGTAAAAGTGCTCAAATAAATACAAAGTAGTTACGTAATGAAATTCAATTGCAAATTAAATTTATATAAATATGTTGAGCTATTAATTATATTTTTAATCAGTAATTAATTAAAATGTGTCAACAGCAACTTTTTATGATGTTTTGGATGTTTTAGAAAATAATTAAAACAATAAATATTATATTGAGGGTAATGAAATTGTTCGGAATTTAATGGCGAATTCAAAATAACATTATTTTTACTAACAAAAAAGCAATAATCGATCAAATGAGATAATCCTGACATGATGTCAACCTAACCCCTGCCTCCCAGCAGGTTTCATTAAGTTCAAGTACAAAACCATTGTTATTTTCGCCCGAGATTATCCTATTTGCACTAGACCATGACTCGTAAACCCGACAAGTTTATATTTTTGGCCAGGGGTTTTCTCTAATTGGACTCATGAAGCCGACTTTTTACGCTCGGGATTATCCCTATCATAATATGGGTGAAGTTTATCTGTCTGCGCCCGAGCGTGGATAACCTCGTACTCGTGAACCCGATTTCTAAGCCGTGGCGCCACGGTGGTTATAACTGGATTTTGCGCTTGGACTTAGTATAAACCGTGACTCTTGAACCGCCTCTTAGTATATCTGATCTCAGCTTTTGTCCCCCTTTGGAATTAAAAAAAATATTTGTTAGCATTTACTAACTTAAATTATTTATAGCAATTCTTCGAGAAGGCAGAGGTGACAGCGGAAGCAGAGGCTCCTCAGAAGTTGATCATCGCAGTGACATCGGACCGTGGTCTGTGTGGAGCCGTCCATACTCAGGTGTCCCGAGCTATCAGGACCGAACTTGCAGCTGATGCATCTAACACTTCCGTAATCTGCATTGGTGACAAGTCTCGTGCTATCCTTCAGCGGTAGGTTTCTCGTCATTTGAAGGCTGGATAATGTTAATTTGTGTCAAGATAAGATTTAATTTTTATATTGCCTGGATTGTATCCTGGGCGAAAATAAAAATATTAGTTCTTCTTAAATAAATTAGGCCTATTTGGTTTTAAATAGACACATGAGGCCACATGTTTTTTTTTCATTGCTAAGGTTTCTTGTTGGCTACAGTGAGTTATGCTGTTATTGAATTATTGATTGTAAAACTTGAGTTTCACAAACATAAGCTTTCATAACTGACACAATATGTTTGCTTTAGTAATCTTAAATATAGTCTATTCAAAATGTCAACTTGTTCAGATTATCTGTGTTAAGACTAGCAGGACTTTGGCGTACTTTTAAATAAGCAATTTTTAGTTATCAATGTTCATTTTTATAAAACGTCAGATTTATTGTAAATCACTGCAATCAATAATATTTTTTGTTAGGTTGTATGGCAAGAACATCATTTTGGTTTGCAATGAAATCGGACGAAGACCACCAACTTTCCTGGACGCCTCAAGAATCGCCCAGCAGACAAAGGACATTAACTTCACCACTGGAAAAATTGTATACAATCGATTCAAGTAAGAAAGCATACAAAATTTCTACATTTGATGTAGGCTGAACTTTAGATTACGTCCTACGCTCATTTGAATGAAAAATATCAATATATAGACTATTCGATATATCTTTTATTTCATTCGGTTTAACCTAACTAACCAAACTTGATATATCGAATGAAATAATCGATATATTCATGCGAATAAGTGTAGGACGTAAACTTAAGTGCAGCCTTGATGTATTATTTAAGCCAATATGTAGTAAGTTTTCAAACAATTACCTTGTGATAAATTATATGTACAGAACTATATGATACGCTTATGCACTTCAGAGTTGCAGTGTTGTTTACAAAAATGTCAATAAAATACTATGCAATGATAAAAATAAACCTAATCTTTGCTACGTTCGAATCCAGATATCGAGTAGTCAGAGTGATCAGTTCTTTTATAGTTCATTTGTTTGTACCCCTAATATAAAAGTACTTGATTTTTAAAGTTACTATAGGATGTAATAAAATATTAACTATTGGTATAAGCCTTTAAAGTAAATGTTTAGTTGTCTGAAATCTGAAAGTATATTCAAAAATAAAAAAAAATTACATTGATATTGAAGTATGTTTTAGTACGTATGATTGAAGCATGACACTTAGCCTACAAGGGTTTTAATTTTTTTGACACAGACTTGCAGCAAACAACAGACGTGTAACACAGACATTTAAAACAAGAATCTTGATCTATTTTCTACATTGATTAGCTGTCTCTGGTAGCCAACTAGTCTAGTGGTAAAGCACGGGAATTTGTTCCCAGGTCTGTTGTCTCATACCTCACTAGCGAGATACCGTTGTTCTCTGCTGCTGCTGTAGCAGCTGCTCCCAAGCTGGGAACTTACGACTCATTGGACGAGGAAGTTATTCGCAGCTACCTCGAGTTCTCCATGGCTTCCATGCTGTTCTACTGTATGAAGGAGAGTGCATGCAGCGAACAGTCTTCTCGTATGACTGCCATGGACAACGCTAGCAAGAATGCCGGTAAATAACTTTTGAATTATTTTTGATCTGGTATTGACCATCCATTGATTTAATTGATTGAATTGAGATGGACCTAGCCCAAGTGCACGCCAGCCACAAATGGGCTTTGCGCTCCTCTTTTGGTGCCTCAGAGCCTGTCAAACATGAGTTGCTAGATGAAGTACAGCATCCTGTGTATGAGCTCCTTCTGAGAAAGTTGCAATTATTCCAAGAGTGCTTTCCCTTAACTCATTCAGAGCTGTGCAATCATAGAGTTGATGATCTACAGTTACTTGGACTGCCTACATTTCCTACAATGTATTCTCTCCTCTGTGGATCCTTGAGCGATTTAGGTGCAATCTTGGGATGCCATGACCTTTGACCGATCGATCAATATTGAGGGACATGAAGTAGTTTTTAAAGAAAGTAAAAAACCCCACTTTTCTAGTAAGCTGGTGATGATAATCAATAATTTTTAACTTGTTCTGGTTGAAATGTGTAATGTTGACAGAGGTAGCTGCTAATAAAATGAAATTGCAAATTGTAATAACGTAACAAGAATAAACTGCCCAATTTTCATGATTGAACATAAGATGCAACTTTTAATTCTATGAGTTTCTGAATGTGCCCAAATAAAGTATAGCAAGGGGCTTTTGTCTAAGTTTATAGCAAAGTTATCCAATTTTTTTTTAAATATAAAAAAATGTTTTTAATTAATATTGGAATAGCTATTTGCTTCAAGATCTAAAGGAAATCAACAAATAAAAGGTGACTTAGCTATTTGCTGTTTTTGTATCCTTTGTGGCAGCAAACCTTCGCATTTGTTGTGTGTAATACTACAATATTTTCCCATTGTTCATGTATTCATGTGATCCTAAAATAATTTTACTTTTGGTCATTTCAGGTGAGATGATTGACAAACTCACTCTCACATTCAACCGTACTCGACAAGCCGTCATCACTCGAGAATTGATTGAAATCATCTCCGGTGCTGCTGCCCTCGACTAAACCCCAGGAAGCAATCCTTACACTGTAGCAGTTGTATATTATTTGGTGTGGAAAAGGAAATCTCAAGTCACTTATCACCTGTATTATCGTTGACAAATCAAAATCAAAATACTTAAGCGTGTTGCTAGCTATCTCTTAGACCAAGACCCCTACATAACATCTTATAAACAAGAGTAGCTGTGACTCTCCTTAAGTATTTATTTATATACATCAAATTGGATGACATTAAATAAATTAACTTTTTTTTCTATTAATCAAATTTTAAAATAATATATTGAGTTCACAAATGTTATTTGAATGGAAATAAAATATTAAAACTTAAGACGGTCCTATTATTTACTCATGCAAACATGGTTTTTAGTTATAATATGGTGTTTGAAGGATTCAGTTTATTACCGAAGTGAGTTTTTTTTTTTTTTTTTCAAAAAACATTTAGCGTAATAGGCTATATTTTTCACAAAGGGAAAGGGGGACAAAAAAAGAGGTTTTATAGACTTTAACAAACACTATTTTGTAAATTGATATCTTGCAAATCGCTTTTGCCTAAGGTGTAACTGTAATTTTTAACACACAATGTGTAAAATAAACACTGCATACAATGTTCAAATTGAGAAAATACATCTTGCTTCCTCAAAAACCAATAAAAAAAAATTGATAATAGTGTCTTGAGTTTTGGATTATGATTGCTGGGCAATAACATTAGAGGTAATTAAGTTATCTTTGGTCTATGGTAAAAACCTATTGATTGTGGTTTTGAGAGTCTAGTGAATGTTACATTAGTAAAATTCTGACTGATTTTGACAACAATACATAAGCTATATAATTATCAAAAGACATTGTGCAAAGAACTGATAACATCTTAATCTGATGTAATAGTTAAAGAGTAGCCTATTATGTAACAAGGCTGGGAAGTAAGTGTTATTATCCTCCCACAAGATGCTCGATGGTAATCCTCACACAGGATGCTCATACCGAGCACCAATTGCGGTAATCCTTACTCGGGGTGTTCATACCAAGAATCCTGTGTGGCAATCCTTGCTCGGGATGCTAAATTTTTTACAGAGTTACAGAGGGCCAGGCTTACAAGTGACCATGGGATTGCATCGCAGCTGGAACAGCTTATTGTGCACTCTGATTCACAGGTCCTCATTCTCCGTCAAATCCCAGGTCCTTGGTGAACCATGAGACCTATTGACTACTATGGTAACCTGTTCTTCCCTTTGATCTCCAGACGATAGGCCACGGGATCTCATACGCAGACCTTGTAGGGCTGGGCAAATGAATATCACGTGGAAGGCTGTCTCCTCGTCCTCTTCACATTTTCTACATAAGAGGCTTTCAAATTGAATCCCCATCTTGATTATATGTCCACGGAATACCCAATGGCCGCTGATGAAGCCTACCACCTTCCGCAGGGTCTTCCTTTTCAGCCTAAGGGCATCTGCTACTACCGCACGGGTAGGTGTCTGCAGCATTCTCTTTGACTGTATGTTGCCTTCTGTTCTATCCCAGCTCCCTCAATGTTCTATGCCCATCCAGTGGCGAACAGCTCTCCGTGCTGTATTGTAAGCATACCATACGTCTGTTCTGGACCCATGAGCGGGCTTTCAGGTTGTTTGTTTGCCCACTTGTCAGCTCCCTCATTGCCAGCAATACCATGTCCTGGAACCCAACTAAGGATAACTTTGTTCTCTCCCAGGGCTTTCATGGCCCGATGACAGTCCCACACTGCCTTAGAAGTAAAGTCAAAACTGTCAAGTGCCATTAGTGCTGCTTTGCTGCACGAGTTCATGTATATGGTGTGGCCTGCCAGACCAGTTTCAAACACACTCGGACAAGGCAACAACTTCTGCCTGGAATACAGTGGCCAGTTTCCTCAGGCTTACGTAAAACTGCGCCTTGGGTCTGACTCCATATATTCCTGCCCCAGTGCCCGTTGGCTTTTTTGAGCCATCCTACCAAGTGATCCCCCTTATCATGTGTTCAGGTTCACCTTTATCCCAGGCAGCCCTATCAACAAAGCAGGGCCGCAGCCACACATATTTCTAGGGGGGGGGGGGGCAAATCCTAAATTTGCCTCCCTTTCACCATGCAACTGTGGATTTTTTCTAAGTGCCAATGGAATTTTACAGTCAGTCTTAACACGAGGCACACAAACTTTGTTTAGGAGCAAACGTCTTGATTATGTGACAGAAAATGTAACATTTAAATTGAGATGACACTTGCTGAGTCTTTGATTGTCTTGTCTAAAGACCAGTGGCGAATCCAGCCAGGAGTCGCAGGGTGAAAAGAAATGCAAAAGAATTGCCTGCGATAGCAGAATTGTGAATACCTCCCGTTATTACGTGGACATTGTTATTTTCATCCGCAATCACAGCTAAATCGTGATTCGTGAACATCTCCCGCTATCACGGGGAGATCGTTATCGTTACTCTTGAGAGTGACGAATCATTTATTTATAAAACAGTTTGTTGTTTAGAAAATGTGTTTTTTATACAAAACGCTGCAGCCCTAGGCCGTGTCCTAGTGGTAAGTCCACCGATATCGGTACGAACACCAAAACTCGTCGTCACCCGCGACTACGGCAAAAGTATTGCATGTTAACCAATAAACAAACAAAAACCAACATTTTTTACTAATCCTCACTCTTGGGTAAAAAAAAATTAATTGCATTGCCCAGCTGTTTCATTCAATAAATTATTAAATTATTCAAACTTTGGAAGCATAACAAACGTAGCCCTTCGGAAATCTGCCTATGTGGCAGAGCCCCTGATAAATTTGTCCATACTAATAATTTTTGGTAAATCTGCACATTCTAAGCTCTATTTTGATGTGCCATCCAGGGGCGGCTCCAGAGGCAGGCCAGGTAGGCCTAGGCTTACCCAATATTTTGGTAGATATTAAAAAATTATAAATAAATAAAGTAATTTAATTATGTGTAAATAAAGGGAAAGCATTCAAACTCAGTCTGTATTTAAATTGTAAAACCCCCCCTTTTTGCGAGGAAGCCCCTCTCAAACATCTCGTCCCCCAATCAAACTCATTCTTGATCCTTGTCAGGCCTACCCAAAAAATTATTCCTGGAGCCCCTGCATATGCCTATATTTGGTAAATGGCCTTTGACCGTTTACATAAAATTTTGATTGTATCACTTTAATAGTATAATAGATATGCCTTCATATATACAAACTATTTTGCTTTGTATATATAATTCCTCTACTAATATGTTTGTTACTTCATTATTTTGTCAGCCATCCCAGGGCAAATTCCTATGCTTTGATTCATCCATATACAAGTGTGATTGATATAAGTGTGCCAGCTGTTTTATTTGAAAGTAATAAGAGATATAACAAATGTTAAATTGTAACTGCCTTGGATTTTTTATTTAAAAAATTTTGGCTAAGTTGAAAAAATAATTTTAGCCGCCATTTTTTCCAATATGGCTGCTAACTTTGATTTTTCTTATGGGAGACCCTATATTTCATGTATTTCTTAGAAAGTAAATACCATTTAAAAACGTTTTTATTCTCGAAATGTTTTCTCTAATGCTACTGATTAAGGAATTACAGCGTTTAAAACAAAGAAAAAATGACTTGCAGTGTTCATTCTTACCATTTTCTCTCTAAACTTACTCTTTTAGGAGCTATATGGGGCAGAATGTACACTGCAAGTAATTTTTTCTTCGTTTTAACACGCTGTAACTCCTTAATCAGTAGCTTTAGAGAAAAAAATGCCAAGAATAAAAACGTTTTTAAATGGCATTTTACTTACTAAGAAATACATAAAATATAGGGTCTTCCATAAGAAAAATAAAACTTGGTGGTCATATTGGAAAAATGGTGGCTAAAATTATTTTTTCAACTTTATCAATTTTTTTTTTTTAATAAAAATCCATGGCAGTTACAATTTAACATTGTTTTATATCTCATATAACTTTCGAATGAAACAGCTGGTACACTTAAATATCAATCACCCTATATATAAATCCCAAAGTACCCATGAACTTTTGAGAAAACTAAAAGTCACAACCCCATAAACCATATACGGTACTTAAAATGTTCGTCATGACAAAAAACCATGCGCAAAACCATAGACTAAGGAGTATTAAAAGTTTAATTCTCCCTATAGTCTATGACAAAACTATCCTTTTTCATGAATTACTGCCCTTTAAGCTCGTAATTCCTTTCTAAAAGGGAACTTTACATATACCTAATGTTAAAAATACTTCAGCTGTACTTATTTGTTTGTTATTCTTTCAATTTATTACCTTATTAAAATCAGGTGTGATTATTTGTTTGTATTACTGTATTCTGTTTTGTTTATTTCAGCTTAACTTAAACAATAAATAGTTTTATTACCGGTAATACTTATGAAGTCAAACGGGGTGAAGCCCGTGGGTACCAGCTAGTTTTCTATAATTCTTCAACTTATCATACGCTTAACAAATCCCTAGTAGCACAAATATATATTAAATACATATGAATAAATATATTTAAAATCTATTTTATATATCTCTAGTGTGTATTAATGTCAATTTTATATAATATTTAAAATATATTAAATATATAAAAAATATGTTTTTGAATCTATTAAATATTTAAAAAATATGTTCCAATAATATATTTTAGTGAATAATATTTAAATAATAAATGTATTTAATATCTCTTCCAAACATCCCATGGGGCCTAAACATAAAAACACAAAATAATAATGATTTAGTATGAAAAACACAATTATCAGTTGAGTAAATTGATTAAATAGTTCATAAAAACAAATTTTGAAAAAATTACTGGATAAAATTTTTTCAGCCCAGGTGGGTCTCGAACCTGGGTCCTTCAACTTATGAGCCTCCTACCTTACCTCTGAGCTACTTGTTACTGTTGTTAGCATTGGTTTTCAAATGGCGAAAGAGTGGCCCTCAGTTGCAATGGTTGCAATACTTGAAATATTTTTGATACTACAGTATAATATGATTCTGTTAATCTGTTTTGGCAATTTTGGCATCAAGTAGTTGAGTTGAATAGTGCTGTAGTGAATAGTGAGTAGTCTCCACGAATATAAATACAGTAAACTACAAAAATTAATTTAAATATTATGACAAATATTATGTTATTTATGGCATATGTAAATCAAATAATTATTTTTAGAACGTCATATACAACCGTAATTAGTTTCTTAAAAGGTTGCCAGTCACTAGCACCCTTTTCTAGCCAATCATTCGAGATTTCTATGATCACATTCATTGTCACATATTGCAATTAAAAAAATAAAACGCATCAACACTTTTTTTCGTTTGACCCAAATGTAGCTGTCGAACATGTA